ATATGCGAATTTACCCTGGTCCATACCATCGCATATGATGGTAAGTTCGTTTCCTCGTGATCTGGACACGCCACGGCTGCTCCAATACGCCAGTCTATCCAAGTATTGGTTGTGCAAATGGTTGTGATACTCTTCTAGTTGCTTCAACCGCGCGTTCAGATGGTGTCCCAAGCTGCGAATGGCCATTTTATGCTTTATGCAAATCGAACACTCTGGATGCTGTCTGGCTTGTCTGAACTTTAGAAATGGGTAGTCGGACAACCATACCTGGGTTGATCAAAGCTTGACTCTTCGTCCATTTTTTTTGGTAAAGCACGATTAGGCTTATCTCTCTGGGAAGTCAACTAACTACTTGGTGACAACATTGAATGACACAAACATACTTGGAAAATGATACCACCTCTGTCTGATAAGTGGCCCGCCAGAACAAAGTGAAAGAAGCGGGTTTGAAAGTGGACTCCCTGTACCTCTGTCTGTATTGTTCCCAATAATCTTTGATCTGTCCCGGTGGTAGCCACCTCGGTTCACGTCCTGACTCGCCAGTTGTGGCATCAACCTGCACAGTTCGGTCGCGGGTCATCTTCACTGAACCCTTCATTTTGCGAGGTTTCTTGATCTTCGGCTTGGCAAGTTGTGCTTTCAACGTGTCAGTCTGGTGGTTTTGCAAGCATGCCCCATAAGGATCATAGTCTTCACTCCCCTCTTCCGCATCCACTGGCACAATCACGGAAATCGATTCGTCTTCGGGGTCGTCTCGGAAATCGGGCAACGTTTCAGCCACAGAATAATAAATTTCACTGAGGAAAGATGCAACTGATGACCGCATCTCACTATCACCAGAGTCTTGATGGGGGCGAACCAAATATCGGAGGTCAACCGGAGGGGCAGGTTCGCCGTTCACCACTGCCTTCTTGAGGCGATCAAACCGCCGAGAACCTCATGAGGAAGCATGGGCACGGAATTGGAGCCCACATATCACAACACACCGCAAGTCTGCACACAGCTCTGGATGACAGAAATCAATAACCCAAACCAACGACACTCTCAAAAACATCATAATTCTACAAACAAGAAGCCGACCCCATGAAGTCTCTTCCACGCTTTGACGCAAACCTGCCTTGAAAGAAAGGACCAATGGGAATCACCGTCGTTGTGACAGTCCCGAATCCTGTCAAAAACCTGAGGCGCAAGGTTCCAAATCTGGCAAGGTGAATGCTAGTTAAGACTCTCTTTCTGACACCCCTAAAAAATATGTAATCATGTAAGCCTGGCCCAGGGGCCAGTCTATCCTGATCCAATTTGTGTAGGCTGCGCCACTGCGCACGCAGGCCCAGCAGCTCAGCAAAACCATCTTTGTCGCGAAAATGCTCAAAACAATTCCTCTGACACCCACACGGCTTTCCCAAGGCACTTCGCACATCAGCCTCAATATCCCCAGCCAGCGCCTTCCTCTTCTTCCCCCTGCCAGTGGGGAAGGCTTTCCCACCATCTTCCCCGGAACTGCTGCTGTCACTGACGGCGTTCACAGGCGGCAAGCAGTGATCTTCATGCATGGGAGCAGGGCTGAATGGAATTAAGCTACGAACCTGATCGTTTTTGTTTTGAACTTTGTGTTTCATGTGTGCACGTGGCTGGATGAGTGTTGCAGTTACGCCATCACAGTTCTTAAAATTTCAGAAACTAACAGTATTCTGGACGCCCCGTGGTCCGGAAAACAAGGAGCCACAACGCAACGTGGCGCAGCTCTTTTCGAATCGCAAAGAACGCGCCGCCCCAGAACAAAACATGAACGTGGGCCTAGAAACGTTTGTTACTTGCTAAAAGCAGTGCTGTGACACAATCGAGTTGAGCATATGGAGACTAAAGGCATGAAATCACCACTTGGGTTCAGGGTCTATGTTTAAGAATTGTGGAAGCCAGTTCTCGCCAAATTTACAAAATTGTCATCAAACCTCCAAGACATGAATCGCATTTTCCAGCTGAAAAAAACGATCGGACAAGACCAGGGCAGGCGCAGACCTGGAAGCCTGTATGTGAACGATGAAAGAGGATGGCACGGGCACGAAGACACCCAGTTTTGAAAGGCTAGGGTGCAACAAACTACACAGTACATCCCTACCAGTACATCCCTACATGGTATAGGTCGGGGGTCGAAAGTTTGAACTCAATCAATTATAAATATGTCGGTCTATACCTAAAAGCGCAGCGACAAACAGTTGCCTGCTGCAACACTCTTCACCAACACACACGCACCCACAGACACAGGTCACAGCGACAAAAACCAGCCACTGTCTCACACATACCCCTTGTTGCAGTGGCCCATGGCTTGATGCACCATACCAGTAGTGACAACAAAATGCCACCCTGGCTGTCGCGCAGCGTCACACCAGCTCTCAAGCCTTGTGCTGACGTTGGTCGCTCAGCATCACACCAGCTTTCAAGTCCTATGCTCCAGACCCCCATTCATTTCCAGACCCCCATTCAAAGGAAAATTCTTTCTCTGCGGGCGTGGTTGCGCGACGCGCTGCCGCCGTGTGTTGCGCCCCGTGGAGCTCGTGCAGCCTTTCAACTCGCCCTGACTGTCTTGCTTTCCTGGGTGTGGTTGCGCGACGCTCTGCTCACACGTCTCGACCTCCACCGTCACGCCTGCCACGCACCCTGCCCAACTGAAAACAAAAACCTACCACCAAGACACTCTGCCCCCGCGGCGCTCGCTTCTCCGTGCGCTCCGCGGCTGCGGCTGCTACGCACCCGTCAACGGTCGAAAAGATCGCACGGCCACTCTACCCCTGCAGCCTTGCTCTCTCGGCTCGCGCGCGTGTTCTCTGCGCCTCGCACCGTCGGAGAGCGCAGCCCACCAACTCCTAGGGCGACGACGCAGTCGACCGCGTGGAGTCCGGGCATGTCCCGGTTTTCCCACTTGGAATACCTGCACATGCCTGTTTCCTTCAGCCCTTGCTCTCTTGCTCGAACAACCTTCTGCCCGGCAAGAAAAAAAAAGGTCCTCCCGCCGTCGGTCTGCTGCGTGGTTCTCGGTCGCGGCAGACACCTGCTCGCGCTCGCGCGACGAACGGTGGACGCGTCGCGGACGAAAGCAGCTGTCCTCGATCCCGTGTGCTCTGACTAGGGTCCTTTTGGGTCCCGGTTCGACTCGCCCCGCTCTAACTTGCTTACTTACAAACACTCTGTGTCTGTCCTTTTCTTCGCAGCATCCCGAGGAGAGAGGCGCAGCTACTCTGCCCGAGCCGCAGAGAGCAGCTGTGCGACGCTCTGCGGCTCAAGGGCGTCTCCAACGGCACTGATGAAATGTCAAAGTGGTGAAATGCCATGATGGCCCCAACAAAGACTGACTGCGGCAACCACTTGTATCTTTTTTGAAACTGGCTAGAGTTAGCTGAACCACTTCTGGACCAACGGTATGGCCTCCTGGTATCCAATTTCATGGATACACTTAGCAAGTTGGGTTGACTCAATGACCTCTGGCTCCTGGCCTGGTACCTGGCACACCCTGTACAGGGTCATGGATGTGCGACACAAACTGTGTACCACAGCCCACTTGGACCTCATTCTACCATCTGGATTTGGTAGTGGCCTTGGATACCTTCGTAGGTTAAAGCATCAAAAAACAAAGTCTACAGAATCTTGAATTGAACAATAGATAAAACATCTGGTCAAGTCACGTTTGGCTGGTTCCATCACTGAAGTACAAGACCAATTTGAGCTCGTTGGCCTCCCCTGTCAAGGCATAGTCATCGATCTGGACGGTACCAGCTGACATGGCTACAAACCTCTCGAAACCTTGCTTGTATGGATAGCTAAAATGGCTACAACAATGTCACCTACACATGCTTCATAGTTACAAATCGAAAGCAAGACAGCACACGCTCCGTCCACGCGTACACCCTATCCCGTTCCTCATGCAACCAATCAACCACCTACACTGGGTGCAGATGCTGACATGATCCCACACATATCGTCGCAAGGCTCTAGCAGCGGCAGCCTCCATGCGACCACAGGTAAGCGACCCAAGATCACGATGTGAGACCGTGCTGGCTTGTTTGCCATCCCTGCAAAACCAGGATGCTCTTAAGAAATTACTAGTTCGTTCACTTCTGCACGACAACTCACCGGGTGGGTAAGATCTCATTTCAAAAACATCTTCGGCTCTGCGAGCGCGGTTGCGCGACGCGCTGCCGCCGTACGTTGCGCCCCGTGGAGCTCGCGCCGCCTTTAGACTCACCCCAACCGTCTTCCTTTCCAAGCAAGACACTCTGCCCCCACGGCGCTCGCTTCTCCCCGTGTTCCGCGGTTGCGGTTGCTACGCACCCGCCACTGGTCCTAAAGATAGCAAAGCTCTACCCCCGCAGCCTTGCTCTCTCGGCTCGCGCGCGTGTTCTCTGCGCCTCGCACCGTCGGAGAGCGCAGCCCACCAACTCCTAGGGCGACGACGCAGTCGACCGCGTGGAGTCCGGGCATGTCCCGGTTTTCCCACTTGGAATACCTGCACATGCCTGTTTCCTTCAGCCCTTGCTCTCTTGCTCGAACAACCTTCTGCCCGGCAAGAAAAAAAAGGGTCCTCCTGCCGTCGGTCTGCTGCACGGTTGTCGGTCGCGGCAGACACCTGCTCGCGCTCGCGCGCAACACGGCGGACGCGTCGCGGACACAAACAGCTGTCCTCCATCCCGCGTGCTCTGACTAGGGTCCTTTTGGGTCCCGGTTCGACTAGCCCCGCTCTAACTTGCTTGCCTACAAACACACTGTGTCTCTCCTTTTCTTTTCTCTGGATGCCACGAGCGCCGCAGCATTCCGAGGGGATAGGCGCAGCTACTCTGCCGGAGCCGCAAAGGGCAGCTGAGCGACGCTCTGCGGCTCGTGGGCGTCTCCAACGGCACGTGGGCCAGCTAGACGAAGCCATTGAGCGACGCTCTATACGGCTCCTCTCGGTCGCACTCCCTCGGAGCGACCGCTGGCCACTGAACGACGTTCTGCGGCTTGGCTCTTCACTCCAACCTCTGCAACACTCGGTTGGAGCGACCGACTGCCACGCCGGATTCGGCCTGCCGCTTGGTCACTCTTTTCTTCGCTCCTCCGTACTGGCGCTCGATGTTGGTGGGATCCAAGTCGAACTTCAGGGCTCGGGCGCCACCCAGTGCGATTAGAAGCCTCGACGGCTGACCCTGCTGCCTGGCGGCCTCATTGAAGTGCACGCAGACGCACTCAAGCACGGCCTGCCGCCCTGCGGCGTCCAAGCTGTTGGCGGTCTCCTCGACCGCGTCCACCACCAAGCGCACCAAAATGGTGCTGTACAAGCTCGCCCTGTCCACGTACTCATAGGAACCTCCTTTGCACATAGCCAGCGCGTACGGCACGGCCCACTCCACGTTCTCCGACCGTGTGAGGTCGTTCCACGTGGCGCCCTGCGCCGAACGCTGCCGAACGACGTTCTGCAGCACGCTGGGCAGCGCATAGGCGTCCTTCAGCGCCGTCGCCAACATTGGCCGGTTGCCCGCGATGGACGGTCCCAAGATGCCCGTCAGCCGGCGGAAGAAGTCAGCGATTTCGCCGGTGGCGCACAAAGCTGCGTCCAACAGCGTTGGCTCGGGGGGTGCCGCGGGGAGCACCGCTGCCGCTGCAACCACGCGATCTCGCACATCCTGCTCTGCCCAGACGCCCACCTCACTGTCGCGACGGCGGGCGCGCCCCCCCCCCCGTCCACACACACACCTTTAAGAAATATACACCTTCTATTTTAAAATAAAAAACATCCTTCCAAGTTTTAATCTTTTCCCCCCTTTCGGCTCGCTGTCCTAGTTCTCTCCCTCCCGCCTTGTCCATCGTCTGCTCCACCACAGCCATAGCCTGGCCGATCTCCTGGGCCACCGCCGACGAGACCGCTTCTGTTGCCTCTGGCCTCTCGTGGTTACCCTCGAAGTGGTTTCGGACTTCGTTGGTGCCCTGGAAAAAAGTTGTTGCCTCTTTCTGCTTTTGCAGAACAAGCACGAGAGATAGCCCTCCCGCCGGGTCGCTTCTCTCAGACCTTGCACCGTGAAGATCTCCACCTCTGCCCGAGTCAGGCCCTCGTACCAACTTTGCCCTGTTGCCACTGCCATTATCCGCTCCAAGCCTTCCGGAGTGATAGTCGTCTCCAGTGGCGGCACCTCCACCTGGTTTGCCGCCGGTTGGGTCGCCGCGCTCGGTGTCTCCTGCAACTGCGCGACGCGCTGCTGCGCAGCGCTGCTGCTCGGCGCTTCCGGGGGGCGGCGCACTCGGCGCTTCGGGGGCAGGAGTGCCAGGCTGTGGCTCCGGCTGAGCTACGCTCTGCGCTTCTGCCCGCTGTGTCGCGATGGCTCCCAGAGCGACCGGTAGGAAACCTTTCTTCCAGCCCCACGCCCGGGTGGCGGCATACCTCGTGCCACCAGTGGTGAACATGAAGTGACCATCCACGGGAAATTCCTCCCCCAAGCATGTGCGCCCACGTCGGTCGCGCTCGGCTTTCCCCTGCCCATCCATCTGCTCCTGGAAAAGGTAGATGGGGCCAAGGGTGGGGCAGAAATTCCACCCTTGCACTGGGTCCTTGCCGAGGTCGCGCCGCAGCTCTGCCCACAAAAACTCGCAGAACAACAGGTATCGCTTCAGGTGACTCTGCGACGTGCCCAACGCATGTCCCACCGCTCTGGCTAAGAGCGGATGCTTCGCGGACGCGTGCCAAATGTTAACCTGGAAGATATGTTTGCGGTTTTGTCCGATGCTGAGGAGGAGGTGCGGGACTTGTGACAAATCTCGCACCTCCGTGGGCGGCGCGACGCGCTGGCCCGAGGACTGCGCGACGCGCTGTCCCTCCAAGCATCTCTCTCCCTCCGCATAAATCTCTTGCAGGGTTGTGCTCCACGGCTGCAGCAACGCCATCTTGATGTCCAAGTAACTTCCACCCTCTTTCCACAAGCGAATATACCGCCCCAGGTCCGCCCTATGGGCAGGTTGCTGAAAGCTCTCATAGCGCGCGAGGAGCGCGGACCCGCCCAGGCTCTTGATGTCTTCGACGCACTCTGCGTCTCCCACAAAATGTCTTTCCAACCCTTGGGCGAACTGTGCCTTATTGGCTGCAGCTTGTGGGTGGTCCTCCCGGTTCGTCTGGAACAACTTCGGCGGCGCCAAGTCCAAGGCCTGCGCCGTCTTGGCCCATGCCCGCTTCTTGCTAGAGTGCGCCGAGCAGGCCCAAAGGAACTCGCTCCACGTCTGCGTCTCGCAGAGCTGCTTCACGACAAATGCCTCCTGCAAATTCTCCACCTCGTTGCAGTTCCACCCGGCACAGATCACCACGGCGACCCAAGCCCCGCTGCCCCCGGTTGAGCGACGCTCTGACGCGGGGGCTCCCTCAGCGCCGGCTGAGCGACGCTCTGCTCGACGCACTTCCAGCTCGGCTCGCGCCGCCTCCACTACCCGCTCCATGCTCTCCGACGCGCAGGCAGGCAGAAAGTGCAAGGCCTTTTTGGCCCCTCCATAGGCACCAGGGACTATCTCCAAGATGCTCTTGCTCAACTCAGGGACACCACATGCCAACCGCGCGACCCCGAGGGCCTCATACCGTGCCCCTTGCACGGAGTCGCGGGCTGGCACCACGCCCACTTCCACCTCCACGTCCCCTCCATGGGTCTCTTCCCCGCCGTCCAAGACCCATTGCATGAACTGGTCGAGGATGTTCGTGCCATCCTTCTTGCCAGCCTTCACAATGCTGCCCCCACTAACAATGCTCGCAACCGTCTCAACGCCCCCACACTTGCGAAAATCCATCGCAGCGTCTCCCAACTTTTGCCCGGGCAACCAACCGTAGCCCGTCGAATCCACCAACACCACCGTGAGCGACGCTCTTGGTATGTCAGCTGCGCGCACCGCGGCGCCGCCGGTCTCCATGGCTGCAGCCGACCCAGAGCAGCGACACAAAAAAAAAATCGGGTGTGCTAGGTTGCTTCTGGTGTCATGGCGTGAGAGCTTTGTTGCTCTGCTTTGCACGTGCTCCTGCCCTACTCACACGCCCCCCCTGCTGAAACCGAACACACAGTGCCAAAAAAAAAAGCATCCCCATTAAAACAAAGGGGGAGAGGTTGGGGCGAACCGTTTGTAACGGGACCAAGTTTGGGGTCTACAAAAAGTACTGACCCAAGCTGGTTTGCCCTCTACAAAATGGCATGTACTACAAAATGATGCTGCCTCAAGATTGCTATCTTATGCTTACAGGTGCATAGCCATCCATACAGCAAGGTGATTTCTTTACAAAAATGGTCTTCGATAGGTGCCAAAAACTGCCTCGTTACAAAATAGCCCCTTTGCAAGGGCCTCCAGCTCTCCCTTTTTGTAGAGGACATTTCAACGGGGATAAAAAAGGTCAGGTGTGCTTGGTTGCTGTTGCTCTCCAACCCTGGCCGTCTCCTAGCTTCTCTTGCACTCTACTCTTGGCTATCCTATCGCTCTGGGAGTTCAGCGCTGGTTGCTTCTGGTGTCTTTGGGTTGGAGGCTGTTTCTCGCTTGCACATGCTCTTGCTCTGTTCACAGGCTCGCCTGTCGTTGAGCCCACGTCTCGCCAGTCTCTGTATCTTTCCCCTCTTTCCGGTGTCGACTGTTTGTCCCCTTTCCGGTGTCGACTGTTTCTTGCTAACTACTCTCTGTGGCATGCTGTCTAAGTCCTTTGCCACCCTGCGTCTCCGACTTGCGGCGTCGACGCCTCAACCCCCAACCTCTCCACCCCCGCCGGCCTCGCTGGCGCATCAACTTGCAGACAATGTCCTTGAGGCTGGAACGACGTCTGCCTGTCCTCACCAGGGCTGTGGCTGGCTGGCGTGAGCGACGCACTTGTTGCCAGCTGACAGCTGCCGCCTCCCAGCGTGCATCGCGCTCCATGTGCCTCCTCTCTCTCCGACGGCTCTCCCGACTTTTGGTTGCTGCAAGCAACCAGGGCAGTCAGCCCCCGTCCCTCGGACGGGTGCTGCCGGGGTGCCCCAAACCCCGGCCCCCGTCTTCTCCGTGGAAGACTCCATGGAAACGTGGCGGGTCCCTCACCGAAACCACGCCCCGCAAACACCGCGAGCGACACCAACCGCCTCGACCCAGAACTCTCTTACCCAGGTGCGCCGGCGCCCGGCTGTCAGGCGTAAGCCTTTAAATCCGGGCGCCGGCCACGCGCACGTTCCCTTGCCGGAGGCCTTCGGTTGGTAACCGAAGGTTATATACGCTCGCCGCCCCTGCCGCCGACCCCCCCCGGTCGACCCCCGCCCGAATCCGCCCGACAAATGTATATGTAATGTATATGTATCTTGCGCTGGATGTTCGAAAATGTTCAAAAACATCGTTTTTTACAGTGTTTCGTGGCCTTCGGCGTCCACGGCAGGGTGCCCGTGGTGTCGGTTATGCGTGCCGCGCGGACAGGCTTAATCGACATTTCGTGGGTGTTGGGCACATAAGTTGCCTAACATATCCCCAACATAGGCCCAAGATAGCCAACATATGCCCAACATAGCCTCCAAGATGGCTCAACATAGGGCCAACATAGGCCAACATGGGGCCAACATAGGCCCAACCTTGGCCGACATAGGCCTAACATAGGCCGACCTAATCCCAACATAGGCTCAACTTGGGCCCAAGATGCGCCCAACATAGACCACATGGGCTCAACTTGGCCCAACCTAGGACCTAGATGCGCGCCAGATAGCTTAACTTTGCTCAATATAGGCCCCACCAAGTCTCAAAGAGAGAGAGAGAGAGAGAGAGAAAGAGAAAGAGAAAGAGAAAGAGAAAGAGAGAGAGAGAGGACCCAGCCCTGCACATACCCAAACCCAAATAGGCCGGCGCCCGGCTGTCAGGCGTAAGCCTCATAAATCCGGGCGCCGGCCACGAAGCCCGTGCCCTGCCCGGAGGGCCTTCGGTGGTAACCGAAGGTTATATACGGGCGCGCCCCCTGCCGCCGACCCTCGGTCCCAAAACGGGGGGACCACCGGGTCACTGATATCAATGTAATTTACAGTGCATCGTGTGTGTGAGGTATAAAAAACACTCTGCTTTACAGGGTTTATTGCGCATATCGAAGTACGACGCGGGGAAAAGGGAAAAATGCAAAAATGCTGTGTTTTTCAAGGGCGGTGTCGGTAATGCGGGCCGGGCGGACAGGCTTAATCGACATTTTGTGGGTAGAGGCCCTCCAGACGATTTACATTTCCTAACATATCCCCAACATAGGCCCAAGATAGCCATCATATCCCCAACATATGCCCAACATAGCCTCCAAGATGGCTCAACATAGGCCCAACATAGGCCCAACCTAGGCCAACATAGGCCAACATAGGCCTAACATAGGCCGACATAGGCCCAACATAGGCTCAACATGGGCCCAAGATGTGCCCAACATAGACCACATGGGCCCAACTTGGCCCAACCTAGGGCCAAGATGCGCACCAAATAGCTTAACTTTGCTCAATATAGGCCCCACCAAGGCCAACATAGGCGCGACATGCTCCCCACAGACCCAAGTGGCCGGCGCCCGGCTGTTAGGCGTAAGCCTTTAAATTACACCAAGATGGTCGTCACAAGAACAGGAGGGAAGCTACAAAGAGTCTTTCCATGTTTTTCATTTTTTTTTGTTCAGGGGAATATTACATATTAATTATATTAAATAGTGATTTATCAGTTTGACCACAACTGACCATCGTGCTTCTTCATCAAGGTTGAGATCACCTCCGAAAGGACCGACCGCTCCGCGGCGATGCCGGCCGCGGAGAGGACGAGACAACCGATGCAACAAGAGCGGCAAACATTGGCAAAGGAGTTGTTTGCCATTCTCCGTATACTACATCGATGTCTATGATGGGTCTATTCCGTCCATTGATGGAATTTCATCGGTTTGATTTTGCGGTCTCCAAAGCTACGCATTGGTCAAGAGTCGGACAAATGTCTTAAATCTGTATGTCTTGCGTGTCTGGTCTATATGCTTGGCATTGGGTAGTGTTTTGACATAAATATGTGTTGACATCAGTAAAGTCTCATGGATCTTTGGCATGGATGTTCGGCTGGCCGGGCCAAACCAGTTTCACTTCTGGCCGGGCCAACCTATGAGTACAAAGCTTTGCCTTCGAGAAAAGCTGCAATCATGTGGGCGGTCAGTTTTTGTTACACAGGAATCAATGAATTATATTGAATTATGAATGTTTATAGATCATTGGGTTGTGAACATGGAAACCGTCCTAGACCTGCCACAAGCATGGGACCTTTGATGTTTGTGATACTGACCTGTACTGTGTATGAGAACACGCGGCCAGAATAAACCCTTAGCCTTGGCGGTCTTGCCTGGAGCCAACTATATTCTACTATTTGCAATCATACCGGACCAACATAGTCTGAATCTCATTTGTCTGAATCACACAAATTCACCTGCTTTCTCTGCCCCAGTCTCCCCCACTTTCGCTTCGCCCGGACTGCCGTCCGCAGCCGTGGCGACTCTCTCGAAAACTTGACTTCTAGGATCCCTTGCAGACTTTGCCAATGCCCCAGCCCTCGCAGTAGTCCGCGAAAGCTGCACCCATCTTCAACCTGATCTCCATGCTCCGTGGGTCCTTCCTATGAACCCTGGGTCCTGCTCCTTGCAGACTCTCCATGCTCGGGTCCTGATCTCCATGCTTCCCCGGGCTACAAGATCCAAACCTTCCTATGAACTGGGTCCTTCTTCCATTGGGTCCGGTGTCTCTCGACGAAGACCCGGACCCGTCAAGGTGGCAGTCCGGCAAAGGTGGCAAGCCAGCCTGTGCCAACAAAGGCAGGTCGATTTCAGATCTTGAGTCTTTATGGAATGGAGAAAAACCCATGAAACACCATCAATTCAACAACAGGATTCGGAAAAGGCAGCTTCTTTGCAAAAGACACATCAATTCTTTTTGATTTTGTCAAAGGAAAAAAAGACAAGAGCCCTTTGGGAGACATATGGAGAAATCTGTGTTTTGCAGCCAAACCAACATCTATGGGGAGTGGAATTAGTGTGATCAAGTTGTGGCGGTTCTTGATGAGAGGAATTCACCCCGTTTTTGCTGCCTCGGCACATGATGTGGTCTGCGGAACACTGTAATCAATGTGGGTTTTTGTATTAGTATGTATTGGTGCACTTTTTGCCATCTCAGAGCATGGCCAACATCAGACTTACCCGGTCCCTTTCCCATCAGGCCGCCGCCTGAAGCTCCGGTAGAACCAGCTCATCGAACATGCTTGATCCTGCGTAACAAAAGTTAAGGCTGTCACCAGGCACAAAAGAATGGAACATGATTGAACCCAAATGCGTCGCAGAATGGATGGGCAAAAGTTCCAAGATCCATCTCTAGCATTGGATCAGCAATGAGGATCAATCGAAGACTCAGCAGTTTCTGCCCTTGAGAGAATCTGAACAGGGTGCTGTGCAGCCCGGTACTGACGTCGCGCCTGGAACTTCAACACCTCCCTAATGTAGACTCTTGATTAATCAACCCCCCTAAAACCCCCTGTATAGGCAAGGGGGGGTTGTGAATCAAGAGTCTACCTGCGGCCCTAGCCTGTAACAGTACACATGATTCTTCAGGAAGAACCTGAACCTCCAACGTGTGCTGCCTCTAAAAAAAAGGTGGGCCATCAGTACCCAAGCTCTAGAAGCGCAGGTGGGGGTACCATCCCGCAAAGTGTGTCTCACCCTGGTGTCTCCTCTGCAAACTGTCCTAGTAGTAAAGCACACATGTTTCCATGGTTTTCTGAATCACCAGGTTGGTGGAAGACTCCACCACAGCCAA